TACTCGCCGCGTCTGTTCCGACTTCTTTTCTAGTTCTAGCAAACACAGTGGCTGCGTCTTTCGGTTCAGTCGGTTCATTCGGCCACGTGTCAGTCAATGAGGACGGCTAAAGAGGTTCTTCAATTGTTGATGCTTTCATGGCTCCATAACAGGAGACGATCCCGCCGTAGATATTGGGTACAGAGAATCAATAAAAAGAGAGACACATATTGGTGAATACCATCACCTGATGGCAGAAATCCTCTCAGACGAAGAAAAATGCCTGAAATATATCCGGATGAGACCCTCCACATTTCAGCTCCTGTTGGACAAAATTGGACCCTACATAGAGAAGCGAACTACCAATTTCCGGAAACCCCTGTCTGCAAAAGAGCATTTGGATTTGGAAAAAGACTGTTGGCTGACAAGCTGGAGTCACCACAGGATACAGACAATAACACAACCCTCCCATCTGCATTCGTAGCAGACGATGCATTTCCATTGAGAGGATATTTGATGAAGCCATTTCCAAACAGATAATTAACTCATGAGAAAGAGCTTTTCAATTATCGCCTATCACGTGCGAGGAATTCAGTTGAATGCTGTTTTGGTAGGATTTCACAAATGTGGCGTATACTCCTGCGCCAAATGGATGAACAGCCAGAGCCGGCAACAGATGCAGTCAAGGCCATCACAGTGCTCCACAATTTCATTATCATGCAAAAACCTGGAAGATCGGGGCTACGGCACATTGAGGATGACGTGGTTGAGCCACGAGCAGGCCTACCAACGTTCGACAGACTAGAAGTTATAAGGAGCAGAGCTACCAAAAGTGGAATGGAAGTGAGAAATGTTTTCATGGGATATTTCTCGTCACCGCAGGGTGCATTGACATGGCAAAATAGCAAATGCTATAACGTCTGATCAGTCCACACTCTCATTTAAAATGGGTTATCATTGCATCTCTTTTAATAAGCTGAAGTAGGCCTATAGTTTGAAACAAGTATACTTGTTGTACAGTGTACATACGTTCAGACAAACAGACGGGTAGACAGACAGGCAGACAGACAGAGAGACAGACATACAGACAGACAGAGAGAAAGAAAGAAAGTTCTTACCATTGCATCCAACTTCGTTGGCTACTTTGTTCCATTCGGCCGATATCATGGCCCTGTTGCAGTAGTTTTGATCTGCTTTGTCAAAAAGACATCTTTTTCCAACTGCGTGTAATAATGCCACAGACTCCATTGTAGTCAAAATGCAACAAAGCACTTTGACTACACACTACAAGCACTACACAATCACGCCACAACAGTTCAGCCGCGCAGCAGACGCTCGAAATTTTATTTCAGCAGCAAGTGCACACGCTTAACTTTTTCTGATCCGTCCAGCGCTGCGTCTGCTCCGCGCCCACTGTAGCGCCGTGCATTCAATCAGATTCAATCCTTCGTTAATAAAATTTGGCGATGCAACTTTTTCGGAGAAAGACGTCGAAACCGAAAAAGAAGCGTCGGAGAAGCGTGCACTGTGTTTGAGGCCTTAGCGTGTGTTTGGAGCGTGCGTTTACATGAACCTTAGCAAAGGGAGGAAGGGACGCAGTTATCTCATTGCCTTGATATTCTAGTGACTTCCCTTTGGGGTGGGGGGGTCACTTTGGGCCGATAATGTGACGACACGTGACTGTTTTGTAAAAGATTCCCCGACTGCGGTTAAGACTGCAAAGGCGTTGAAAGGGGGTGTGTGTGTGGGTGGGGGGGGGGGGGGGGGGTAGGCAGAAAGACAGACTCGATGCAATGAATGCACCATAAAATGTCTGGAACCAATTGTCTAAAAAGAAATTGTTGGTGATGGTCATAAGGACGACGGCCCAACCACATGGCTTTCTTTCCATCCAAGCGACCACCCCCGACGTGAATTCATGAACGAGCATTCACGCGTGTTGCGCATCATAGGCGTAGGTCTAACTACACACTAGCCAACACGCAGTCACTCAAACACCAGTCAGAAACCTTTTCTCAAAGAGATGCATTTCCAGTGACCAATTAAATACATGTAACATTCCAGTCCCCAACCCCCCCAACATTTCACCGACCAGTCCTAGACCTAGGCACTAGGCCTATGTGTCTGTGGAAAGTTGGGTGTGAAGAAAACGCTGTCCATCACTCTCTTTGTTCGGCGTAAGGGGCAGTCTCGCCAAATATCCGGTTTGCTAGGCTCGTATGCAAGCTGTGCAGATCGTACAGTAGTCGTAGCAAAAAATTTCCCCTTGCCAAGCTTTACCTGTCAGAGAGTTTCGCAGATCGGAGCGTGCGTTTAGAGGGAGTGACCGTGCGTTTGTACGTCTAAATTATACAGTAAAAAACGTCAGATGACGAAAGCGTGCGTTTAGAGGGAGTGACCGTGCGTTTGTACGTCTAAATTATACAGTAAAAAACCCGTCAGATGACGAAAGCGTGCGTTTGAGCGGAGCGTGCTTTTGTATGGTGTGCGTTTAGGCGGAGACTACTGCACTTGAAAAGGCCATGCGCTACTACAGCGGAGCCCACAACTGGTGCAACAGGAGAGCAAGAAATGCGTCAAGATCAATCTATGTTAAAATTATCAGAATCAATATTCTGCTTATTCATTTATCTTTTAAATGTCTTTCGCGTGTCTGTAATTGGTGCTCTTTTTTAAATGTGGGGTGTCAGCAAACTCAAGAGGCTGTCAAGTGTATCTAGTTTTATTCGAACGTATACCGGGTAGCCTATACTATAATACATTTTTGTCTTCATACTTCTCATGTGGAAAAAATTGGGGTAGCAGATGGTGATATTCGCCATATAATTGTCTATTGACCAAAATTGGGTGGACTCAATGCGTCCTATTCTTCCTCTTATGCCTTTCTTTTAGCAACAGTAAAATCACCAGTTTAGTCTCAGCATCCATGTTGTTATAAAACACGCACGAATAGACGGATGATAGGTGTGAATGGGCACACGTCGTGCGCTAGACGGACGCACAATACTATACGAACGCCGGTGTTTGGTGTGTAAGAGCCGAAAGAGGCAAAGACGAGTCTGCCGAGACTTCTATCATTCCATCACGCATTTGTTTACATCACGTCCATACTTAAATCTACAAAACTAGAGTCCTTCTTGACACTCCAAAGGAAAAGACTGTCCATGGCCATATTACGAATTTTTCAGCCACATTATGACATAACTACTTTTTAAATATTTGGTAATTACTAAAACATATAGTCATATAGTGGTTAGTGGCCAGCCCTGCTTATGCACACCCAAACACTCCTCCTTCTCCCCCCCCCCCCCCCCCCCAACACACACACACACACACATGCACGCTCACGCACGCGTACACACACACACACACACAAGTTTTAAAAACATCATCATCAGTGCCTTTCACCCCTTGCAGGGTATAGGCCACATACAAGCTCCTTCCATTTATCTCTGTCCTGGGCCACCTTCCTAGCTCGTTCCAAGTGAGCTTCATCTCTCTCATGTCCCTTTCCACACATTTCCTCCATGTTTCCCATGTAGGCCTACTACCCCTGCCTCATGCTCCCTGTGTGTACTATCATTGCAGCCACTGTCTTGTGATGTTTCCGTTGGGCTTTCTGAAGGTGTGTCCCATCCAACGCCACTTTCTTAGTCCTATTTCTACTTCTATTCCTTTTGTCCTGTCCTTTCTCCTTTCCCCGCAGCTCTTCATTTTTTATTCTATCCTGCCACTTAATTCTTAGGATACTCCTCATACATCTGTAGATGAAAGTCTGGACTTTATTCAGCACTGCCTTTGTTGTCTTCCAAGTTTCGCAGCCGTAGAGGAGCACAGACTTGACATTGGAATTAAGGAGTCGAATCTCGGTGCGCAGTGAGATGTTGCTTGCTTTCCAGACTTTTGATAATTGCTTGAATGCTGACCCTTGCATTGGCGGTTCTTGCTTTTACATCTGCCTGGGGTTCCACCTTTACCATTGATGACACTTCCAAGGTAGGTAAAGGAGTCCACTTCTACTAGTACTAGGGGAGGGTGTTCCACTGTCACAGCAGGGCTTGACACTTTTCCTAGCATCACTACTTTCGACTTGCCCTGGTGTATACGTAGGCCAACACTCCTTGATAGGCTGTTGAGTTCCTTGGTCTTTTCTTGCATCTGAGGATGTGTGTGAGAGAGCAGTGCAAGGTCACCGGTGAAGTCCAAGTCATCGAGCTACTGCCAAGGGATCCACTGTATTCCATAGCGCTTGCCTCTGGTGGCTTTCCTCATGATCCAGTCAATTGCCAGAGTATGAAGAGAAAAGGTGAGAGCAAGCATCTTTGTCACACCCTTGTACCCGAGGGGAATGGTTCTGAGAGTTGTCCTTCATGGAAGACTTGGCAGTTTATTCCATTTAAAAACATAATTAACTAATAATATAATGAAAAGCAAGCCCTACTCAATCGGTAACTAACTACGTTTACCGGGGTGACATTCGTCTTACCCTGAGTTTACCTGAATAAAATGGGAACTTTAAAGTAGGCAGCCCTGCTGTTACATCGTCAAGTTGGAAGAATATCTTCTCGGAGAAGGTAAAAAAACCATTATAACTTGTTAAGTTGAAGTCCAGTCTTGCGTATGTCGTTCGTCTGTCCAATTCACAACCTGCTATGCCACACAAACTAACTGTTATCTCTTGCTGAAGGACTCAAATTTCATTAAATATGTAACCTCAATGGCCAGTAATTATCAACCGTGACTAAAGATACAATAACCTAAAATGAGAGTTTAAATGTTTCTTAACAGTTCAAAATTATGGAAGTTACGAGTAAAATACAAAATCAGTTGTTCTTGAAGCAATGTTTCAAAAACCTGAAAAAACAGATAGCAGATTCTTGCAGAAAAATACATCTATCCCGTGCCTTTATTCTTGTTCTAAAACTCAATCATGACTTCATAAGACTCGCGCATTCCTATGACCTTTTGCAGTAGCGAGCGTCGTAAAACTTTACCAAAACAAAAATTCCTTAAGAACCTGATGTCAATAATTCTGCAGCATTCTACAGATTTATTCCAAGTATCTTTATTAGGGGACATGCCCTCATGAGTCATCAAAGTGACATAGTTTGCAGTGTCTGCTTATGTGTTACAAAAATTATAAAACTCCAACACACAGCTAAAAAATCTGTTCTTCCCAAACTTAGCTTCGTAATGGCCAATTACGTTACCCATGTGTACAAAATTGGGAACATACAGTAGAAAGCAAAACGTGAAAAAGCAGTTGGCAGTATATATTATATTAATAAAATAACTAGAAACTGCTTGCTGTATTAAGCATCCTGAATATGCATGTACATGTACATATAAGACTTGGTGAACCGAAAGGCAGTACCAAGGGAAGAAGTTCTTGATGGGTTATTGCATTGCAAATATTTCTTGACCGTTTTAGCTTCAATTTAAAAAAACCTTGTGTAACGTGACAAAGTTGCTGCAATACAACAACGCATTGGAATGTCATACAGCCATAAAAAAATATCATCTATCAACTTGTGGAGTCTTATTATTTGAAATATGCATTGAAAAAAATAGATTGACTTGTTCAATGAAGCTAAAAAAAACAACTGACAAACTGACAAACATGATCACCCGTGTAGAAACACAACAACGGACTTAAATAGTTTCAACGATAGGCATAACACAACGGATGACATTGTAAATCCCGATATAATATACACTCTTAACTGATTCAGCCTGCAGCACTGCTCACAGTGGCTGATCGTCTCCTGTTGCTCCCTTTTCTTCGTATCAGTTTCTCCTTGCCTTGATTCCCAAATGCTTACATTTCAACCCATTTTTCTGGTTTCATTGATTAGTATTTTGTATTCTGAACATTTCTGTATGCCACACATAGGGTTCTAGCAAATTTAGATATTTCTTTATTAATATTTTGTGAGACCACTCGTGAGGTTACGAAGCGGTCACAAATTATTTGCGTCTGGAGTCAAAATTAATTGCGGGCTGAATCAGTTAAGACCAAAAAACAAATAAATTCATATTTACACATTGTTTGTGGTAGGCCTTACATTCAGAAAAAGCTCCACTTTTTTGCATACTCAATTCAAATTTGACTGAATAATTATTCTCTTGTCTTTTATAAATCTTGAAACAACAAAAAATGTTTCTTCATTATGATCAACAAGTATAAAAATGTTCTTTGCCCAGATCACACAATGGAAGGACTGGTCTACTTCTCACAGCCAGCAGACGATGTAACACATTCTTCCAGCCTCCTTGTGTTCCAGTAAGTCAAAGGATGACCTCATGCTTGGCCTGGGTATTCGAGCACAGCAGCCGCCCCCATGCCAGTTCCCATACACATTGAAATGACACCACATGATCTGAGGACAAAGAAATATAAAAAGGGATCATTCCACAGCTGAGTTCATGCAAACCGAAGACGTCAATCCAAAAACAGCACATAACAGAAAAAAAATTAAAATCTCTGATTTTACAAACAACAACACAATTCAGACCATACTCAGATTTGAACCTTGTCCTTCAGAATGCTTTTTACGTTTGTAACCACCAGAGCAACCAAAAGCAACAAATGATAAAACACTGTTGTGCACACGTGTCAAACTCAGGGCCCAAGCGCCGCATCCAGCCCAGGGAACAATTACATTCAGCCAACGAGAGAACTTTAGGAAATTCATCCTGAGAATCTCCATAACACAGAACAATACCCCTGGAGTTTGAAGAAGGAGAAGCATATAATAATAATAATAATAATAATAATAATAATAATATTATATAGCATTGGTATAGCGCATATCCCCATCCGACAGCAAACTCTATTCACTTTACACTGTAATATCACTCCAGCAGACCATAGAACACTCAGAAACATTCTCAGCTTCCCGGGAAGCATACAATGCAAGCAATTTATTAACCCTATCCGTACGCCCTTGGGTTATTATGTACCCTCAGGGTTGTATTCTTCACATTTTAGAATACTTCTAGTACGAAGATCTTTTTGAAACTTTCAGTATTTCTCAAAAAATCATTTAAGCATACTGCTATGAAAAGCGTACGGCTCAGATTAAAGAGTAAATTTCCTCTTTGAAAGTGGTGGCACAGAGTTCCCCACGTCATATGGATACAATAGTAAAACACAACGTACGGATAGGGTTAAGTGCTCAAACACGACAAAACTGACAAGATATTTCATTGTCTATACCTGGCTACCCATTCTCATCTAGGTGAAGTGAGGGAAAAAAATTATGAAATGGTATGGGTTTAACGCCCCTATCAACACTATTAGGTTATTTAAGAGCCGGGGCCTCCTAGTTTAACGTCCGTCTCCGAAAGGACCGAGCCAAGATGGAAATTGGAGTAAAGTGCCTTTCCCAAGGACACATGAAGTGAGAAAAATAGTGAAGTGCCTTTCCCAAGGACACAATGTCGGCTCCCTGACGGGATTCGAACCCACAACTTACGGTTGCGAGTCTGAGAACCTGACTATGAACCCATCGACGCCACATATCAGCACAATAATGGTCATATAGTGCAGGGAGAAGCAAGACATAGACAGAAATAACAGAGGAAAAGAAAAGAAGTAGGACCTGCCAGTGACGCCTTCCAACCACCCGCAAAATTACTCCAAACATAAACATACTTGTTGCCAAGAAAATCAAGCCAAACATCAAGCTCAGACAAAATGGCATAGGAGCAAAAATTGGTACGACTTGATTTGCTGGCATTTTAACTTTTTGTCTGTTTTAATAATATCATTGTTTAGAAAAGGTTTAGTTTTCTTCTGCTGAACGAGTGTTTATCCTCCATCTTAAAAATACCTTCATCCCTCCCCTCCCATCCCCCCCTCCAACAAGCGACTGAGTTAGATACTTCTGCTGAAGTGTAAAGGTAACTGCATAGAAACAAACCTTTTCCCCCTTCGTTTGAGTTCATGGAGAAGTGTGCTGAACTGCCGGGCGCCTGTGCAGCCAAGCGGGTGTCCCAAGGCAATGGCGCCACCTTTCGGGTTTACCCTCTCTATGGGGATTCCCAGCTTCTTCACACAGTACACTGCTTGGCTTGCAAATGCTTCATTGATTTCATAAATGTCAATATCGTTGACGGTGAGCCCTGAAATAAAGTGGGTGAGATAATATTCATCAACTTCAAAAGAAAATTATCTGACCATGAAAACTTTAAATTCTTAAGATGCCCGAAAAGACTCTCCTTAGAAACATTATGGATACTTTAGCTTTTCTGTTTTCTGAATAAAAACATTACAAACATAAAGAATATTGAGGATGAATTTTAAAGAACCCAAGACATCATTTCACAAGACGAAATATTTCAATTCGCCAAACACATTGTAGTCCCAGATAATCACATAAAATTAAGAGTATACTTAATAGTACATAATATTCATTCACAAACGAAAAGTACATATTATTACAGTATCATCGTTGAAAAACAAAACCATGTATATAGACTGGTATAAATAAATAAAACAAGACTTGAAGAACAACCTGCTTTGTTCTGTTATATATTCCCATTAATTTTAGCAAAAGAAGAAAGTTGTGAAACAAAAAGCTTCTCATTTTTAAAAAGACAAGCTTGTTCGTTTTGCCTGCAAAATTTACTTGGGGGAAGTTCACTATAAAATTACACATACGACACAATTACATAGACGAAAAGTGTGGACTGTACGCATAGGTACCTTCAAGTCATTTACACATTCATATATTTCACAAATGATGGAGTTTGGAATCTTTTTCAATATAATGTAAATCACTACGATACTAAGGCGTTTGTGTTTACTCAGTCCTGCCTAAGGTCATGTTCTGGAAATCACCCTCTACCCCATAACAGAAAGGGAACAACTCTGTACAGTCGACTTCACTTGTGCTGAAGTCGCTTGAGTTGATCTTTGGTTATGTTGATCTTTTTCTCTGGTCCCAGCATCTTTTCTTCTTTACATTCTTGTTTAAGTGAAACGACTATGTTGAGTTTAACTCAAATGTAAGTGCACTGAATTTGAAGTGCTTTTTTCCTCCCCGCTGTAAGAATGCACCAGTTGTATTGATTTTTTCCCCCCTGTGATACTTAAAACATTAATACAATTATGTAGAGCCAATCAACACGCATTAACAGGCCCACATGGAACCTTAATGAAACAGTGAAGGGAGCCCTAGATAAAGTATTGTTACATCACAATCCTCAAGGCCGAAGGGTATGCAGCACTGCAAGACAGTGAGTAATACAGCAAAACCTCTGTATAACATACTTGGTTGAAAATGTACTCTCGTCTGTAAGTTACGTAACTACACAGGTTAATGTTTACTTTTCGAAGTCCAGAGTCCCAGCGAAAATGTTTACTCTTTAAAAGCTACTTCTAAAATATACCTGTATAATATAATAAAATGTTCTTTTCGCAAATAACAATCATTTTTCAAGCGATTTTAGTGATCGAAAGTTAGTTTATATAACGGACAGTGTACATAGTGAGGATAAGGAACATGGCAAAAAGCAGTAGCTTTACTGTTCTCAAGAATACAACATAATCTGCTGTAGTGAGAGGGCAAGTTTTTTGCAGAAGTACATGTCACATTAGTACATGATGCGTATTGCCAGTTTTGCCGCTAGTGGAGGCTTGCACCCCCTCCCCCCCATCCTCCCCCCCCCCCCTCCCTCCCTCCCTCCCTCTCTCTCTCTCTCTCTCTCTCTCTCTCTCTCTCTCTCTCTCTCTCTCTCTCTCTCTCTCTCACACACACACACACACACACACACCCACAAACACATGATCATGCAGTGATTAAAGACGTGAATAAATATCGCTAAATAACCTTTCCTGTCGACGCGATTTTTACTAAAATACTAAATAATAACATTGAAAGAGGAAAATATTAAAAATTTTGTCATGTCCTTTGATTTTTTGGTTTCAACAGTTCAGCTGAACTTTGGATGAATTTATCTTTTTTCACTACCACGGCTACATCAACTCATCAGTTATCGACAGTACAAAGTTAAATATTTTAATGAAATTATTTACAAGAGCAACCACACATAAAAACGTTTTTAAAAAACCTGCAAAACGCAGATTAATTAATAATCTAAGTTTTAATTAATTCAGATGTTCGTCTTCAACTTAAGTTTAGTCTGAATCCTCATCAATGTCCGATTTCTCCTTCTGACTATGTATTTGCCCCTAGTTAATTTAATTTTCCTTTCTATTGTTATATTAACTTAATCTATTGTAATTAAAAAGTAAGATATCACTAAAATTTTAATCAACTCAGGGGAAAACATTAAAGAAATCAGTGAAAAGAACATCAGATTCAAACAATCAAATTCATTTTTTAGCTCAACACCTTTCATGCCAATTAAAAAACAAATTTCTGTGTGGATTTTACTGAAAAACGTTGATCAAAGGTACAAATAATATAAATTTCCAGTTTCCATGGATTCTCAAGCTAAGGAAATAACTAATCTTTGGCAGCCATTTTCTCATTAATTTTACCTCTAAAACCAGGTGACTCCCATCTCCTTCTTTCGCAAATATCTCGACTTGTATTCACGATAAATGGATATTTTTTTTCATCAAAAGCAACACAAATGAACAAGTGTTAGGATGATACCAATAACTCTACATGCCAAAAAATTGACGAGAGCCTGACTCCACCATGTCTTGACACATACATTCAATCAAACCTGTACAAAAACAAGTAAACGAATGGGAGGAATTTTTACCAGCTTTCTCCAAGGCCAAAGGAATGGCAACAGCTGGTCCAATTCCCATAACATCTGGTGGGCAACCCTTCACAGCATAGGAACGTATTACCCCAAGAATGGGCAGTGATCGCCGGGCAGCTTCCTGTCGTGTCATCACCAGCACAGCTGCTGCCCCGTCACTCACCTGGCTGGAATTGCCTGAAGATAAAACAACAACAAAAATACATCCCCTTCTAGTCACAAGCACATTCATAATCAATTCACTCTGCTGGTTTGCTGTTCAACTTACATGAGTCAATTTGAAAATTACTAATGTTTTACATCTTGTCCTACGTAGTTCTGAATTATTATTGTCTGCTCTCTTCTTAATACTGTCTGATTTTGTTTCTGATCTTACTTTTCACCTCAGGAGACTAGAAGGGAGCTTTCCATTTTCCACTGTTAACTGAAGTACACCTTTACTCATTGACAAAAAAAGTCCCAATGTAGCACCCCAAAACAACTCACCTGTCACCACGTTTGTGTGTGTTTGTCCATCAGTGCCCAAAACAAGAATAATCATAACTATTATAGTACTATAGTATGCAGATGAGCCTGAAGGTTGGTCAGCTATGAGTAATATCTTAGACACGTTAAGTATGACAAGAAGTAGGAATTACAGAACAATTCACCATCTTCTATGATTGGTCCACTTAACTTTCAAGCATACTGTTCCTGTTTGATGAGACTCACTGATAGTGAAAGTAGTGGAAGAAACGTTTTCCGTGACAAGACGAACCCTTCTGCAAAAACTACCCCTTCTTCCTTCACCCCTTCCCCATCCTACCAAAGGCAAAAACTTTGCCCAAGGCACATTTTTGGGTCCCATTCCTTAACAATTCAATGGACAGGTTTGACAATACAATAATTAATACATACAACACATAAGATTTGGGTTTTAGAGGTGTATTGCTCAGAATATGAAAAAAGTCACAGGGCTATTTCACTTTTTCAAAACCTTAAGCATCTAGGTTTAATGCAATAAGTCTTACTTCCATTCAAAGCATTTTTTAAAGTGCTTTTGAAAAAAGTATCTTGTGGCAACATTAAACAAGAAGCAGACATCTGATCCTGCTTAACTAGATTCTATAATACAACTATTTAACCAGATATTGACAGCACTTCAAAAATACAAACCAGCAGTAGTAGTTCCATTTTCCTTGAAGGCAGGTTTCAGTTTAGTCAAGCCTTCAATTGTTGTCGGTCTGATTCCTTCGTCTTTTGACACCTTTTTTCATACAAAATGTACAAAGAATGAGTCCCAAAAATGCTTTGACAGCTTCAATGAAAAGGAAACAGATATGACTGAGATATGGAAAGTGACTTTATGACTTGAATAGTTTTTAAAAATTTGTATGGCAATTGATCCCCTTAGCCTCTTGCCTCCAAGAATTGAGAAGACATTTTTTCTACCATAACTTAAAAAAAAGGAAAAAGCTAAAAAAAAACCTATTTATGTAAATTGTACACATATCAAAGACATACATGAAAGGAAACATACAGCACTATAAAGAAACAGATTCCGCCAAAATAAACTGTCAATCAATCCCCGTACCCTCCCCCTGACTCCCAATGCTTGACTTTTAACTATGATCGACCAAAACATACTAAATCAGACTTCCTTTGTCCTCTTCTAAGACAAGAGTACCTGGACAGCAACAGTTACTGATCAAATGGCAGATGAGTAGAACTTTTTAACTCAGTGAACATGACTAAAATCTTCATCTGCACTAGACATACCTCACTCATCTTTAGAAAGCTAAACCAGCCCAACTCAGGATTTCCAAACTTCAACAGAGTACACAAATTTAATAATGCTGGGCTACTCCATTATTTACCTTTTCCACTGTCACTCTCTCAGTTTTGCAAACCAGCAGCTCATCTTGTCAGTAATTAAGATAAATTCCATAACATATTTAAAATAGCTGAGTTGTCAAAGATTCAACAGATACATGTTGTGGACATCTACTCACAAGCAAGGAACACACATGATTTATCAGGGTTACAAAAGATTCCTCGGAAACTCAGAACAAGAGGAAGAAGATGGACCAATAAAACTGAACCATGGACATTTCTATGACAGTTGAGGAAAGGAATGCATCATACTTACAGTTACTGTTCTTTCATCACCATTCTTGTCTGTGACTGTTGTCGTTACTGGGATAATTTCAGCATCAAACAAGCCTTGCTTGGCTGCTTGCATTGCCCTGCACAAGGTCAATGCGTAGTCATCAAACATCAAATTAAAAAAGGATCACAGAAGAGAAATGTTTCGTAAATCGCACTGAAAAGTTCTCAATTAATGTGCTCCTTTGGCTTTTTAGTTATTGGAAACCTTTGTCACACACTTCGTAATGCCCCTACAGAAATGTTATCACTTCTTTACAAATAAAAGAAGTGCTTTTCGTCGAATAAGATATTACATGACCTCAATCACAGCAGAGCATGAGGCACTGCTGTTTATCTTGTCCTACTCCAAATGAAATAAAATCTGAATCAGACATTTGCTTTAGCGATGCCCCACTAAAAGAAATTAACATTAATTCTCCTGCTGTAGAAAAACCACGGGTTGTGGGAAGTCAGCCTAATTACTTTCATATAGAGTTATCAAGGATCCTTTTCTTTTAAATAAGTAAAGAAGAAGATATGGAAAATTTAAAACATACAAAGCTAAGACTGAAAGCAAAGGTAAGTAAAAAAGCCAAATGTGAAAAGTAGAACACATAATCTTCAGCAATCATTTTTAGCCTAAGATTAAATTAGAAGCACCATCCACCATCTGTATTCAGGGCATGCTGATATTTTTAACATTTAACTCCATTAAATATGGAGTATGTTATGGTCCTTGTCAACACACCACGTTGACACATTCCAAGAGGACCAAAGAAAAATACTTTTTAACACTTTTCACCCACGTAGCCCACAGAGCGTACAACACTTATCCCCACAGACTAGGATACAGGTGCGGTAGATGCTATATCACACCGTCGCCGATCGGCGTCCCGTGGGAACAGGGACGGCTTCTTAGTATAGCCAATTGGCGTCACGTGGGGGCATAGTGTTAATTCCAATCTCGAACTTCAACCACACATATCAAGTCTAACCCTTAGAAGCATAATTGCATTTCAATACAGGCATGAAAGAAACAAAACAGATGCACTCTGTATGGAGCAAAACCTGAAAAGAGTAGACAAATTATATATTGACAGAATTCTCATTTGTCTTTCCATACTTACTTCTGCTGGGAAAGCAAAGCAAATTCATCTTGCTCTTTGCGTGTGACTCCATATTTTGCGGCCACATTCTCGGATGTGATCCTGAAAGGAGAATATTTTTTAAATATATTGCATGCCATTATATGAGCCATCTGCATTGCCTCTTTAAAGTTTAAACAAGATACCTCTTAAATCTTAATTAAATTTTTTAATGAAGAATAAACATAATAAAAGTGAGAAAAAAATACTTAACATGGTGGACAAATCTATAAAAACTTTATTCAGATCTTTGTTCCAACTAAACAACAATGCAGTAAATAAAACATGTGATTTGATATATTCACTTACATAAAAAAGCTCTCAATTCTAAACATTCCTATTTTTTTAAAAGAAATTAATCTCATCTCCACTAACTCCAAGGCAAAAAAAATGAGTCACGAATGAAGTGTAGTATGAAAATGAAAGGGAAAAGTTGTTGTTGTTATTGATTCAGCAACAGCTGGGCTCTCGCCCTTAATAATAATAATAATAATAATAATAATAAATAGCATTTGTATAGCGCATATCCCCACTCAACAGCAGGCTCTATGCGCTTTACACTATATTATTACCCCAGCAGACCACAGAACACTCCGAAACATTCTCAGCTTCCCGGGAAGCATACAGTGCAAGCAGCTGATTAAGCACTCAAACACTAACAAACTGACAAGATCTTTCGCTGTATATAGGCGGGTACCCATCCCCACCTGGGTGAAGTGAGGAAAATTCGTGTAAAGTGACTTTCCCAAGGACACAACGTCGGGCCCCTGACGGGATTCGAACCCACGACCTTACGGTTGCCAGTCCAAGAGCCTAACCACTAGGCCACCGACGCCACGAATACCATGTAGTGATGAGTGCAGGTTTGCTGCAGTTACTGTAATGTTCCATAGAGTGTGTAATCAATGTTACGTCTAAGAGGGAGAAGTGTAGCTCTGATGTCAATGAAAGGGAAATAAGGAAGACCATTAAAAGGATTCTAAAATGAAAATGGGACATACTCGCACAATTAATTTGAACTATGGAATAAAGAACTGGCAGTTGACTTCTGCTTGGGGAATGCATAAGGAAAAGAAGGGAAAAAGGAAAAAGAAGAAGAGGAACAAGAAGAAGAAAATTAAGGAAGAGAAAGAGCAGAACAAAATCTCATAATACAGCGTCAAACTGTATTTTACTTTCACTTTCAATTCAAAATTTTTTAATTTACCGGCACCATACAAGAGTGAAAGCGCATAAGTAAATAAGATTTCATTTTCTCAGAAAACATACCCCATAGGCAGAAGGACGTCTTGAGTAACTTGCAGGTCTCCTACTCTAGGGTTCACTTCAAAGCCTGCAGCTGATGACCCGTACTGTCGAGTCATGGACTCCACCCTGGGAAAAGAATAAAAATCAGACATTCTAATATATACCATTTAATTTACTTTTCAAACCAGATCTTGTGTCAATCCTCTATAAAATATTTTTGTCCGCCTTTTCATTTACTAAACGTTTATTCCTTTTTTAATCAATTCATAGACAGTTCTATGATTTTAATGGGTTCTAAAGTGTGTTTTTTTCTGAGAATTTGTACAATTTACTACAGTATCCTAAAAGTTCTATAATTTTTTCTTCAATAGCATTGAAAGGGGTTTTAACTCTTTCCTCTACACAAACAAGCAACAAGTTGATTTTACGTAAACCAAGCCTATACACATGTAACAAGTCAGTAATGTGGCAAACTAATTTTCAAAGCGATGATCATGTTGAGGTCAAGCTGCCACTCCATGTTTTCAACAATAATTGCAATAAAATAGTAAAACAATTAATCTAATAAAGTAATAGCACATAAATAATAAAGGTACTTAAAAAAAAAAAATCTTACCCTCCTGCCAGTCCAATAGAATAAGCACCATTCCTGATGTTTCCTAAAAACAAAGAAACAAACTGTTGGTATTCTACTTAAGCTCAGTTATAGAGCCCTTTTCTTACCTATGTGTAAATTTCATATTTCGTCAGGTTAACAAGTACAATGTCTGAGAGGCACTGTAAAATTTGTATTTATAGGTTTAAAAAAAAGTGTTATACTTTTCTTAACCTTAACCCTCAAACTGTGGGTCGGCAAATTATCAGACCGTCAGACCCATCTTTGTTGCGCTGTAAATCGGGGGTACAATAACCCAAGTAAAAATAACATTAAATCTGCAAACAGGTTCAGTATGTATCATAATGTATGGCACTATTAAAAAGTAGACCGTAAACTTCCAGTTCCGGCCTTTTTTGCACTTTCAACTCTGTTTTGAGAACAGTACTTTGTTGCTGAATGTTGTGTCCACCATCTGCAAGAATCCATCGTCACCTTTGAAAAATGAAGGATTTTCTGGGTCTTCATTAGGAAGCACTCTAAATCTTGACATAAATGTGTTGAAATATATTTTCGATGATTGCAATTAGTTCCAAAGATAATTTTTCTTTGCCTCATGAAGACTTGGAAAATGATTATCTGATGCAGATTCGGATTATGACATTTGACAAAAGATCTAGATGTAGACTTAGATCATGACGAACCAGGTCATCAGAGTAAAACTGTGCCACAAAGCATCCCCATGTACCATCAGCTCACATACTTGTCAAATTTTTTTTCTTTTGAAGTTTTTTAAACTGAAAAAAAAAAGTCCTCGAATAAGGGAAAAAAAGTGACATCTCAATATTAGCACACCCATAGTATTACTGAAAAGTCACTAACCCGCAACATTCATGACAGCCTGCAAACCAGAGCTGCACTGTCGGTTTGTAGAATAAACAGGCACATCTTCAGGGATTCCACTGCAAAAACAAAAAAAAAATCAAACTATGCTGTGTCTCCCCCATTGCCTCCATTGACTTTTTCTGTCCATCTCTCAGATTAAAATTGCAGATTTTCATTATGCAGGCCTAGTCCGAAATACTAACCTCAGGTTACCAAACAGGAAAGATGATTAGTAGGTCAAAAGTCGGGAGAAAAATAGTGTTAGTTCAGGTAGTTTTGACAACTAGAAAGTAGTCAAAATTGTCTAAGATGGCCACCCATTGTTGAGGAGAAAAGTGGTTGTCTTCTACAGGTGGATGTGTTAGACAGTGTCATTATAATGAAAAATGGACGTGGGGACATGGGAAGTGGTCATTTGTACTGCACTAAAACATTTTACAAGAAACATTATAAACCTGAGGCTTTCATATATATGAAGTCTGAAATTCTAAATTATCATTGACGCAAGTCCAACTAACATTGTATAACATTGTGAAAAGATATTGTTAGACAGATGTCCCATGATATCGTGATAAGAATCCTTTCCCTGGGAATAAAGAAAGGCAAGATGTTATACGAACACTATCTTAGCCAGATCAGAGCATAGAATAACCAATCATTAATTCTAATAATAGAAGGAGGACAAATTTCTCTTACACTAATCTTGATCTAATCAACAGAGACATTTGAAAAGAACTGGGACTCATGTTTCCATCCATCACCTCTTTCTTGTGCATTGTGCATTCTCTTTTCTTTTTTCGTGCACTCACCCCCACTCACACTATCTCTCTTATACTTTCTCGTGGCTTCTCCGTCTTTAGCTCAGGAGCACACACATTTCAGGGTGCCTGTTTAGTTGAAGGTCTACCGTGATGTTTCTCGTTAAGTTGACGGTCTACTGCCGGACTTGTCTGACAGCTGGTTTAGTTGAAGCTCTACTGCAAAGTTTCTCATATACAGGCAAGTGACTGTCAGTCATACCACATTAGAAATGGTTTGGTACTTGTAGCTTGTCGGGGAAGGGGGGGAGGCCGGAGGTTGTGTAAGTGTGAGTATGTGCGTGAGTATGTGTGTGTGTGGGTGGGTGTGTGTGTGTGTGTGTGTGTGTGTGTGTATGTGTGTGTGTGCGTGACCATAATCAATCAGGCAGGACTGACAGTAAACAACTGTAGTGCAGTACACCTTCAACTAAACCAGCATCCATTTCAGAGATAAAGATAAAGGTCTCAAGCAAACCCATTATTTAGTTCCACTTCATCTAAGTACATGTACCTGTAGAACTGCGCTAGTCGAGCTACAGTGGCAGCCTGTTTATCAAGAACACACCCTGAAAGAAAGAAAGAAAGTCCTTATTCAATCCTTGACATAACCATGACTCAACAAATACTGTGGAGGTTTTGGTGAGTGAACGATAAAAAAAATCTTAATAAATTCAGACAGTGCTTTCAAATTGAGTATCACAATGCAGCGGCACACACAAAATAATATATTTTATGTATGTTAGCTGTAGGTACCAAACTGAATTAAAAGTTGACATGTTAATTTATGAAACATTAAAGACTATGAAAAATGGGAGCTGAACAGGTTACACAAAAGAAGTTATCATAAACTTAAATATAATCATAGCAATCTCTATGAACACATGACAAATCTTTAGAAAATGCAATACTTTTTTCTTTACAACCATTTAATTTTCGACATACCAACACAAATGTCACCAATATCTTCTGGGTTGATTTTGCTGTCACTAATTACAGCTTTAAATACAGCTGCCAACAGGTCATCGTTCAAAGTGTCCTGAAAAAAAAAAAATACTGTATGCAATATCAACTTTAATTTAACAAGCTAGGAAAAGCAGTGACTAACAAATTCCTGAACTTTGCAATGTAAGTTGGGACACCAATAACATTGTTACACACTGTGTGCAATAGTAGTCCACTAATCTTGTAACTTGGACAGAGAATATGAGAGGAACGCGAGTAATAAATACTGGCTCAAACAGAGCAAACTACTGGTACATAAAAACATTCTTTAACAGCATACATATCAACTAAACAGGCACTTTTGTCTATTCACAAAGATAAAGAGTTTTATACAAATGGATCAACTGCAGGCGCAGTTCGTCCATAGAGCACAGTCGTGCAGTGCCGCCCAAAATCTTTTTAAGTTCTTTTACGTAAAACACCTATAATAATAAAATAAAAGAAGCCAGAAACAAACACTAACCAAATATTATATCAACACAAGGTCCTCACTGGCACCATAACGGTCATTTCTGTGTCTATAGCGCTGTAAAACATCTACTATGCCATGCCAAAGTCCATGAGCTTTAGCTAAACATAATAGGATATTTCACAGTGTAACCTGACCTATAAACCGCTCTTGGGGATAACCAGAGCGATGATGACACTTGTTGGCGGTATATCTATATTAATAAGACAGCACATCTCAAATGTGCTCCTGCCAAACAGTGCCGAAACATAGCCCACAGTAGGCAGTCTAAAAAAAACGCGATAGACAGTACACTATTCTTTGCCAATATTTTGTGAGCCGCGGAGCAATCCAGCGGAGTGCTTAAGTGAATTGTGATTGGTTCATTGTCTGTCTTGCCACTATTTTAAGTGACTCTGTGACCGTGAACCTGAGAGAGGTGAACGTGACCGTCCTATGAGTTGTGCCTTTGAATGGTTTTGTAGACGAGTAGTGAAAGTTATTACTTGAGTTTTCAGTTCCAATACAGGATGAACGAAATTAATGTTCAGCTAACAAACAAATTTAGTACTAGAAATCAAAGCGACCAGTAAAAAGAATGAAAATAAAAGCACGAAGTCCTCCCTCACCAATGCAAAGATCCTAAATTTATACGTCTCATTTACTATGCCCTTGACTATCTTCAGCATGCGATAGCTCAATTGTGCACGTCCACTTTTTAGCCCCACGAGCCGCCCCTGATCAACTGGTTACATTTCATTTAGTGAGGCAGTAATAAACCTTGGTTTTAAGAGTGATTAAAGTGGTTGGAATGTTGACTTTCATCCTTTTGAAAATATTGAAGTAAACTGGTAGAGTAGGAAAGTGTATGTAGCAGTGTCCACCTAAGAGCCTGGCCATCAGGAGACAAAAAAGGCAGGTTCTTTGGGGGATTTCAAGGGACACAACTCAGTTCCAACCAATCTGCTTCCCTTTCATTCAATGATGAAATAATGACCCAAAGGTAAAAATGATACCTGAGGGAAGATAGACAGGTTTGCTTTTCCTTTTCATATTAAAACTATAATAGAGTACCATTTAGTCCTAATGCTACATAAGGGAAGAGAAAGAATGTCTGTGAATGGGCCACCTTTATAATAAGAGAAGGGCGATGGAATAAATTGAAAACCACATAATATTGACCTGCTCAACGAATGCCATTTGTGAGCCTAAAAAACGTTTTTTTGTGTGTGTGTGAATGTAGTGTGTAGATTTTATCTTTCCCTATACCACACCAAGCCCCCTCCCTTCACCCCAACCCCTCTCATTACTTATTTCTTTGACATTAAAATAAAATGACTTTGTAATATAGGCTTATCAGTTACGGCATGACTGCAATATCATGCATTAGTTCTTTTCACTGCATCTATCGAGAGGCAGATGCACTTGAAAGTCAGCGAGCCATTTTAATTAACACAAGTGCAGGGAGGGAGTGAGATTGTTCACTCCTTCAAACTCCCCCCGACAATCCAAACTGTCTTTCATTGAACTTTGTAACAATATAGTTCATACTGGTCAAGCTTTGAAAACCTCTTTGCAGTAAAGCATAGAAAGCAGTTCAGAAAAGTGTATTGCCCTTTTAGTTCAAACCAGGTTCTTCAGCAGATTATTTTTGAATGGGTTCTAAGGCTTGAAAATAATAGAGAAAAACGTTTTTAAATACACAGTAAAAAGCTGACTTTATAGGCAGACCAGGTGCTTATATATTCTTAACTCTTAGAAGTTAGCACATCAACTGATTAGATGCTGCATTATTACTCTTTTCTTGTATTCCTCATTTATCATAAATTTTATATCAGATCACCTGTCCTATAAGTTACTCGAATAGTAGCTGTATCTTCATAATATCAAATTTCCATTCTTTTCAGAAAATGTTGGTGGTTCATGCAAGCTTGTATGCTTGAACCCTGTCTATTTCATGACGAAAATGATAACAATAACATAAAATGTACATCATACAAATAGCTAAATTTACTGAAGAAAAAAAATCAGTAATAGGCCCATGACTTTTAACAGGAAGTAAGAGTTAATCAAAGACCACTGAATACAGTAGTCTCCGCCTAAGATCCCACCACTTACGATCCCGGTTCGCTTAAGATCCCAATGTTTTAAGAAAACTGAAATTTTAGTATACAAAAGTCACCCCTAAGATCCCACTCTGATTCACTCTGAAGGCCTACATTCGGCTAAGATCCCGCATTTCAAATCATAATTTGAGGAACTAAATCCCGGGCGAGCACAGCCGATCAACCAAGAGTGAAAAGTGGAGATCAATAAACTGTCCGTCGCGTCAAAGATCAGCCACTAGCGTGAATGTGATCACATACACGTTGTAAAACTCTATGAAGCGATACAATGTTTGCCCCAGACAGGATAACATCGGGGTGTGAACTGACAAACACGTTTGTTTTCCCCACGCATCGCACTCACACCTGAGCTCTCCCCCGAAACTTACATCACTCGCTGGTAGGGCAGGGCCAACAAGTTCCCTCCAGGCGGGATCACATTGAACTGTGAATTCTTCCTTGACCATTGCAACAGTTGTCTCTACTCCCGAATTTGCGAGACAGACGGAATTTTAATTGGTGTGGTCACAACGTAATGGTGCAGAACGACAAAGGCAGGGGAACTCGGTCAGAAGTTGAAAGCTACAAATTTTCGACAGGTAAAGGGGAGGGGGAACTGGATAGGCATAAACCTTGAGACTCATGATAGGATAATAAGTGAAAATGGCACGCCTCATGCCACTATGCACTGTGGTAGGTCAGCAAGGTTAACCACTCTTTGCTCGTCATATATGCCATAAACCCACCAAGAGGTCACGTCAGTTCATTTTAGAGTGGAGGGAGACCATTTTACCTATTGTGATTCATCCCTGGGTTCGTCGGTTAAGACCCCGGTTCGCCTAAGGTCCCGCATTTCCTTGCTCCCGCGCACCAGAATCTTAGGCGGAGACTACTGTACTTCTGAGTCAAGGTCAACACAAGAATGAACTTGCACACTAATACAGGAGGCCCGTTGTGGGATCAGGTCAGGTCGGTTGCTAGCCAGATTGAGGGCACAAAGCGGCTATCGTGGCACAAGCCAATCACGCCCGACTCATTGCCTAAAAAACAAAAGCGTTTGTTTTCAGGCAACGAGTAGGGTTATCATCCCGACAGTGCTGACCCAATCCCATCCGCAATTGGCACCCGGACAGTGCAGAACTAAATCTGAATGAAATATTATAATAGAAAAGGCAACATCTGTAATAGGAAGTCTAAACTTAATTTCAGTATTTTTTTACTTTCCCTCCCGCCTCACTTTTAGCTACCAGTTGTCCATTTTCTACTAAATATTGATGCGCTGAACACGAATATCCACTTAATTTCCGTCGCAAATTAAGAGTTTTTGAAAAAGAATCTGCAGATTGTTCTGAATATAGAAATAGAAGTGTTTTGGACCAATCGGGGGGTTCCCGGGGGGGGGCTGCCCCCCGGGGTAAAAGAAAATCTGTGGGGTTACAGGGGGCATGCCCCTATAATTTGATATTTTGCAGTTAGATTTGAAATTTTCTTGAAAAAAATTGATTTGCGACAGTTTTAGTTGCTTTATAATGAGCTAAATAATACACCATGTGTTATATGAAGTATGAAGCTTTTAAATCTACCTTTCATTGTTGGAAGTTCTGATGGCCGAAGGGACAGCGCGTCTGCGTTTGAAGCAAAACCATTATTTTATAAGCGTGGGTTTGAATCCTGGTCCAGGAAGTTGAGTTGTTTTGTTTTTTTTGTTTTTTTCGGTCCTCTTGACTGGCCAACAAAATTTTCCTATAATTATAACCTGTTGCTTTGTAGGTTTTTTTAATGTAGCCTAGTGATGAAGCATGCACATTCTGGTTTTGTCTCCAAGAGGAGCTCTGTACAATAGGCCTTAGTCTAACTTCAGCCTATACTTTTCCTTTTCCAATTTAGGCCTGGTTAAAGTTCAATAGTGGCTTTCCTTGGTCAGTGAGTCTAATTTTTTTATATTTTATTTTAGGCTCAGGAGGAAAAAAAAAACCTTCTGTGACCGGCATTCAATGCAACGATTGGAAGCACTGAACATTACAGAACGTAGACAGCTTGTATATATATGTTCTCTAGATCTAGGCCTAACATAAAGACAATATTTTTAGGTACAATAGTCTCCGCCTAAACGCACGCCATACAAAAGAATGCTCCGCTCAAACGCACGCTTTCGTCATCTGACGTTTTTTTTAAAGTTACTATATAATTTAGACGTACAAACGCAAGGTCAATCCCTCTAAACCCACGCTCCGATCTGCGAAACACGCTGACAGGTAAAGCTTGACTATGCGAAATTTTCACTACGACTAGCCTAGAAAACCGGGTATTTGGTGAGACTGCCCCTCACGCCGAACAAAGAGAGTGATGGACAGTGTTTTCACATCCAACTTTCCACAGACACATAGGTCTAGGACTGGTCGGTGAAATGTTGGGGGGTTGGGGGACTGAAATGTATTTGATTGGTCATGTAAAAAAGAAAATCCCTCCACATCCCTTCCGGTCCCCACGCCCCGTTCACACCTCATACACACACACACACACACACACACACACACGCACACACACACACACATGCACACTCACACACACTCTCACGCACACACACACATACGGGCCACTCCATTTGCAATTATATCAACAAATTTTGAGAACGGAAACCGTTCGGAGAAATAGAGTTCAAGTTTATTTTCCCGAACGTTCGGAGAAATGGAGCCGGCCTTATTTATAAATATAATAATACACACCTTGAAGGACCCACGTTTAGCTTTTGCAATAGGGGTTCGTCTTGCAGCAACAATCACGATGTCATCAGGTTTGTTGAGCCAGTTGGGAAGAGCTGCCGTGTTTCGTACCTCAAGTTCAGACTTCACTGTCTGATTTCTCAAGTGCCCAAACACAGTGTTCAGCCGATCTGCCATGACAAGTCTAACGGATTCTTATAGATTCTAGAATCTAGATTAGGTAATTTGAATGAGAATAAAATGAGTTCGAAAGATAACTAACACTAACACTAGATTAGACTTAGGCTAGGCCAACGAACTGTTGCAAACCTCACTCTATGTCAAGAACTCAGTCTCAAGACTCAGTTTTCGAAGCTTCTGGCCTTCTCTGCCATTGATGCAAACCTTTGAACTACAGACAGACAGGAGTCAGAGGTTAAAGGTTAATATCGGTACTGCGATCAAAGATTGCACATATTGCAATCATGTACACAATCTAAATTTTGACTCTGAACTTTATTGAGAAAAAGTCAACGCGGTAAGCGAGAACAGAAAATTTTTAGCTACTGAGTTTATTATCATCTAGATCTAGATGAGTGCCTATTCGAGAAGGAAACAAGATTCTAGAGATATATTATTATAAACAGAGCCGGTGAGATGTGTAAACAGTTTTATATGGCGATATTTTTTATCAACGAACAACTCTTTATGATTAAAAACCAAAATTTTTACTTGAAAACACTCTTCGGTGACCAAAGGAGCGAAAAGAACAAAAACCCAATCAATGTGAGAAAACAGGGACACCTTGGACGATTTGCTTCATCGCGACTGCTTTTGTGTTGTTCGTAAGTTACTTAATCGAAAAACAAGGGGCTATACACATGTATTAAAAGTAAGAATCTCAAGAGGCTGCTGCTGCAATGAAAAACTGGATGGATTATCAGGGGCGGTTTGTTAACTGGGCATGCATGACCGGAAATTTTTGTTAGCTGGCCTGATGAGAAGAATTTATTGCACTGATGATGATTTTCATTCAGTTTTAAGTCTAAAGTAAAGTGTAAATCCAAACAAACATGTATCAACATTGAAAAAGCACCTTGCCGATTTGGAGGTGCTCAAATAGACAAGTGGGATTCACTGCTGTTTTGTCGAGACAGAGCCTCATGCAGGAAGATTGAAGAATACCGGACCACTCGTACATTATTGCGCGAGAAAAATCAGAAAGTGGGGTAGGTGGGGCGGGTGGTTGGGTTGGAGGACGGGGAGGGGGGATTCAGGGGGGTCTCCCCCCTGACAAAATTTTAAGGAATAGATCTACCGGTTCGAGATTCTCCATTGAGAGATATTAAAAACGGGGAAATTATAATCATTCCTAAGGTTGAGACATAGGCAAAGTCAGTCCGCTGGTCCGGTATTCTTCAATCTTACCCCTATGACAGATGCTTCACGTTTGGTTCAGGAAGTGGCTATCCTCACCCGGGATGAGAATAAAAATTACGATCGACCTCTCACCCCGGGTGAGACTTGCCAGCGTTGGCTACTCTCACCCGGTTTGAAACAAGACCTGTTTTTCCTAATTTCGGACTACTGACTATCGGTGTGGATGATCAAATTGACAAAAGCTAAGAAAAAATTACGTTATTAATAGCACAAAAGTTGTAAGCTAATTTGATCGTCTACAAAGACAGATGGCTATTTCACTTTTCGAATCGAGCCGAACTACGCGGGTCGCCATTTTGTTTTGCCCGGAAGTTCTCGCAAGATCTACTCCTCCCCTCTCTCTCTCTGTCTCTTTTTGAATACACTGTATCGATGTGGACGATCAAATTGACCAAAACAAAGATAAAAAATGATGCTAAAACACAGTAAATTAATTTGATCAACTACAAACATGCTACGGTTATTTAACTTTCGAATTGAGCCAAACTATGCGGGTCACCATTCTGTTTTGCCCAGAAGTTCTCGGCTTGCAGTAACTGTAGTAACACAAGAGCACTGGAATGTTTGTTCACGGCACAGAATTCTACAATTCTGTTACAGTGTAGAATTCTGTGGTTCAGGGTGAATGCTACACTGGTTGGCCAAGGCTAACAATAACGGTGAATGCACATTGGGTGAGAATAGCCAAAAGGCGCGCCTGTGCTAATCTCACCCGGGATGAGAATAGAGGTGGCCTTTGGTTTATTGCGCTGGCTCATAATAACTTTAAACCGTCTCCCGTAAAAAAAAGTCAAACCGTCATGTTTCGAACTTCGTACGAGGACAAACCGAACATCGCGGGTTCAATGATGACGTCAGTCCGCTGGGCAAATCCATCGACTGCCCTCAGAGCGAATAGAGCATCCCTTAATTGCTAAATTGGCCTCTGTGTTGCTTACAAAATTAAGAATGAGCAGCACAGACACACATTAATTATTTTATCAGCAATACATGTATTTTTATTATTCAGCCTTTCTCTAACTATTATCAGAACATTTGTTGTCAGCATGGCACTAATCTAATCTTTTTTTGTGTATTGAATTTTTAGCCACCTATTGTTCCCGTTTGGTATTTTATTCATCGAATTCAATTTCTAGTGCTATAGATTTTTTAATGTCTGAATATTGTCTACACTTCAGTTGTGGTTGGGGCAATGTTCGTGGACTATACTTCATTTGAAAATACCTTCAAAAGGTACTGCGAGCAAACAAGACTGAGGGGGCTCTCGTGGCCTAGAGGTTTAGGTGATGGCCTTTCATTGAAAGGTCCCTGGTTCGAATCCAGGTAGCGACCGAAAAATTTTCTTCTCTAAAATTGTCTCCTTTCTCCTCCTTTTCTGCTCTCTAGCAATGTTCTGTCGTCTGCTTTCATATCATCTTTCTGCCCCCACCCCCTCACCTCCTTTGCCCCCTCCTCTGGGCTCCTGACTCTTTCTGCAGCCTTTCTACTGCTACTCCTTGGCTCCTCCTTACTGCTGTCTTTCTGCCACACCCTACACCTAGCCTTCTCGGACCAGGGCGAAAAATCTCGGAGGGCCCGTGTGCAAGTTGCGCACGTTAAAGATCCCTTGGTGGTCTAAAATTGATAAGAGTAGGCTTCGGCCGCCACCCGGGCAAAATTCAAAATTTCCTACCAACTGAAAATATTAGGTGTGTCCCGCGCGCTCATATGACCTATGCAGTTGCGAGCGCCGTAAAACACTTTACAAAACAAACAAACATAAGCTGTAATATTTAGCTGAACAATAGTTTTTAAAATAAGGCAAAAACAATGGTTACAAATTTCTGGTAAAGAGTTAGTAAGGTTTCTAGCTTTTATCAAAATTGCAGTACCGTACCTTTTTATTAGCTAATTTATTTTTAACAGAACTAATATGGTCTTACCAACCACACCTTTCATCAATAATATAGGCCTACTTAAAAACTCTGTGGATCTGACTCGATAGATTTCAATATTGTCAATAGGCATACATATTAATGAACGATGTAGCTGATCTGGTGGGCACGACGGCTCCCACAGCCACCCCTACCCCCTCCCATCCTTCTACACACAGCCCCAAACCCTCCCACAAAAATAGTGAGCGATTGCCACGACAATAATAATAATAATAATAATGGATTGCATTTATATAGCGCATATCCACTTATGCAATGCTCTATGCGCTTAACATGATACATATAATGGATTTACAAATCAATTTTAAAGGTACATAGTGTTACATACTCATGCAAACACATATTCACTCACGCACGCACCACACACACATACATACTCACATACACATATACGTACATATGCACATACGCACATACAAACTCACAACGATCTACAGCTTGGATGCATTCTGTCTAATCGAAATATGATGAAAATAGAAATGATTTTAGTTTCTTCTTAAAAATTTCTAGATTTTCTGCTTCTCTGATAGTTTTTGGAAGCCTATTCCAAACAAGGGGGGCAAAATATGAAAAAGAGCGTTGGCCATATGATTTATAATTTATTTTAGGCTTAACAAGGGTTGTTTTGTCACTTGATGATCTGAGCGTTCTAGGAGGCACATAGGGTGTTAAAAGCTGTTTTAGATAGTCCGGTGATAAATCATTTAAGCACTTGTAGCAAGTTAAACAGATTTTATATATGACACGCTCTTTCACTGGGAGCCAGTGTAATGCTTTTAAAATAGGAGTCACATGATCATGCTTTAGTTTTTTAGTAATTATTTTGGCAGCAATATTTTTTACTCTTTGCAGTTGTTGTAACTGTTCATCAGGTACACCAGCCAGTAAGGAATTGCAATGATCAATCCTTGACAATATAAGTGATGTTATTAAAGTTTTGGTGACACCAACAGATAGATATTTTCTAATGCTCCCTGTTTTCTTCAGCTGGAGATATAGATTTTTACAAAGATTGGATACATGGTATTTCATTGACATATCTTGATCTAGCACCACACCTAAATTTCTTATTTTAGTTTGGGCTGATATTTAGTGGCCATTGATGTTTATTCTGATATTGTCGATTTCATTGCATGCGCTGCTACGAAGAAATAATATTTCGGTCTTATCCTCATTTAATTTTAATTTGTTCTTGAACATCCATTTTCTTATATCATTGATACATCTGGCGATTCTATCTATGAGATTGTGTACATTGTCAGTTGTAGTGAATCCATACAGCTGTGTATCGTCTGCATAAAGATGGTAATTGAGGGCATATAAAGAAATTATTGATGACAGACTTTGCGTGTACATTGTAAAGATGACAGGACCAAGGACCGAACCCTGAGGAACTCCGTATTTTAGAGGTAACCTATCTGACACATCATTGCCAATTTTCACTGACAATGCGCGTATGAAGTTCGCAAATGTGCTACGAAATGACCGTCTCCATTCAACCTTGTGGATCTGGGGTGTGACGAGATAACTGATGACTTGACTGCACTGGTTTGACGAAATGACTGGTATTCTAGATCTAGATCTAGTGTCAATAGCAATGTAAAGTAGGGATGGGATGGGCAGGTAACGACCGGTACTGCAGTTGGCGGTGTCAGCACCAGCACCAGGCTCCAAATACTGCGGTACTGGAAAGGAGGGGCTGACACCAAGTGATTTACCGGCTCTAGAGCTAGGAAGGTGCCAACACCAAGACCAAGTATCTGTGCCGTATGACGCTGTCATAGTGTACTGTTTCCGCTGACTACCTTTTCCGCTGCCCCTGCCCTGCTGCTTTTTAGTTCAGAGGGGTAGAATCTATTTTTTGCATTGGAAGTGAGTATTCCCACCCGGGGTGCGAATAATTTTTTTTGTCATTCCCATCAGGGTTGGGTCATTTCTTTCCTATCTATCTGATCCAAATCTTGGTAAGATTGAAGAATACCGGACCAGCGGACTGACTTTGCCTATGTCTCAACCTTAGGAATTCATAATTTTCCCTTTTTTAATATCTCT